GCTGTTAAAAGGGGTGTAAAACTGCCCAGAGATGTTCCTGTAAGGAGTTGTCAACTGCTGTAACTCAAAGAAAGTGAGAAAGAGAATTATTTCATGCTCATAACTAAAGAAAATACAGAAAGGATTCAGTTAGTAAATACAGTCAAATAAAAGTTTAATAATAAACATAATGGAAAAATACATACAAACAACATAAATACATGATAGAAAACCAGCTCTCTTGCAGATTTATCTGAATTTTACATTGCATTTTGTCTGACACCAAATGATCTTACTGCATTTTTTTTGCAGGCATGAAAGAGAATAAATGTATAACTCCACTTATCTCTTGAAACTCAGCATTTAGCTTCTATACAAATTACATAATAAAGAACAGGCCACATGGACACCTGAAGAGCTCTCACATTGTTGAATCTGTAATCTTTGACTTGGAGTCTGACTCCAACTAGACTGAACCTGCTTTGCACTGTACACATTGTCACACTTCATGAAGTTCATGTTGACTCAAAAAGCCTGACTAACCTGCTACTGTCTATACATGAAGAGAGAAGTAATGTGTTGGGTTATGATAGACCCACATACTGTACACATGATCAGGTATGGTGTTGATAATGGTAAGAAACCTCCATGGAACATACAAAAAAACACCATAAAAGTCTAGCTACACTACCATTCAAAAGTTTGGGTTGGTAAAATGTTGTTTAATGTTTTAATGTTTTTAAAAGAAATCTCTTATTCTCACAAAGACTACATTTATTTGATCAAAAATACAGAACAGTGTAAGAAATAAATCTGTAAAATAACAGAAAAAGTACTGGCAGCTCATTACCAGGACATTATCCATAAATTTTACAGAATGCAATGAAATTGCGAAATTCAAAATAAAACACTATATAAATAAATACTAAAAAATTCTTTCAAATTAATACATTGTGCCCTATTTTTGTAACAATCTATAACAAAATCTGCAACAAGCAAGTCTTTACTAGTCAATTTTGATCAGTTTAATGCTGAATAAAAGCATTAACTTCTCTTAAAACAGTATATGGGAACTATTCTTTCAGATAATCAGATTTCCACGAACACACAGCAATATGATACTGCTAGAACTTGTTTGATGATTCAAAAGATATAGGACCCAAAGCAAAATGATATATGAAGGTGGCAGTGTGGGGGCTGAGCCACAAGAAAACAGCAAGCCTGGGCTTGACATCAGAGTTAGGCAAAACGGTTATCCTCTGGGGCGAGTCTATCATTTGTAACTGAGAGCACATGCATCACACAACCTTGAGTCAAACCTCACTTTCCCAGGGGCTGGGTTAACATGAGGTTAAAGAGTGAGCCTGGGTATGTGTGTATGTGCATGTGCAGTTTAGGGGTGGGAGAGGGACGTCACTGATCAACTATGCATGCTAGATTCCCTAAAGACACTGCAGGTGAATAGGGTAAAAATATGAACTAATAGTTATCACATACTTACCCAGTTGATTGATTACATTGATAATTGCAAACATTTTTTGTATTACAAGTTACAACATATATTATGTTTAAATATGTAAATGAGGCATTATTTCATGAAATATGAGCTAATTTGCATACATTTCTAGTACAAAAATCTGAACACTGGATTAAGTCAGTTTCAAAATTCTTGTTTATTTATTTATTTTTTTACATATTAGAGTCAAATGTTTTTACAGAGGGAATTTTGGGCATCTCTTTTTGTCACTCCATAATTCAGATAAATCTTTGAACAGCCAGAAAACAATATATTTTCACAATTTTGGGGGGAATAAAATGTTGTATACAATCAAGCAAGTTATATATGAAAAATCCCTCTGTAAACATCTTCAGAATATAGACAGGACTAAAAATGTAAAGTGTGGTGTGTGTAAGTGCTACTGAAGTGGAGATTTATGGCTCAGTGTGTAAGAGAAAAAACTCATTTAGAGAAAACGGCCTTTAAAAATATGTATTGTAATTGAAATCTATTGACACAAATAGATAAAGTGCTATAAAATAAGCACTTAACGGTGTCTTTTGGATGTTTTCTTTCTACTAGTCTTTATCAACACTTTATGAAAAGCCAAAAAGCCCAAAATCTCAAAATTTACAGGTGCATGAAAAAATAATGTTTTTGCCTGCAGTGAAGTCAAAGACTCCCCTTAAAGAAGTCAGTAAATAACAATAATATATTTAATAGGTTTTGAAGTTTAGAACTAATATAGAAGACTGGGAGTGAGTGAAAGAGATGAATATAGACAGAGTGAGACAAAGGTCATCTAGACATGCCTTTGCGTGCACAAACAGTGGAAGATGACAAAAAGTGCCATTGATGGAGCAGCACAATGCAAACTACTGACAAACGCTTGAATCCCATTATACCGCTTTTCCTCCAACTGTTTGATTCCTTTTCGTGTTTGCATTGCATAGCAGTGCTGGGGAGTTTAGTGACAAAAGCTGTCATTGTGCTCACAGGTTAGAGAGAGACAGAGAGAAAGAGAGCACAAACTATGGCCCATTCCACTTCCTCTTTCTGTTCTGGCCTGGTCAGCTATGGCTAAAACTGACTGGTCATGCAAACATTTATGACTGCACAACCTGAACAGTCTAGTCAGATTGCATTAATTATATGACCTCTTAAAATAACCATATAGTGTCTGAAAACAGGGTTCCCTTTCAGTCAGTCACGTTCGACGTTACGTCAGTCGTGACTGACGAATTGGGATCTCGCCCGAGAGCCCAAT